AGCTTGTGGTATTTTGTGAACGCAGTCTTAGGAAACTGTTAGAGTCCATGTGTTTGAGTGTGTGCATGTGTGTACATGTGAACATATGTGATTATACAAGTGAGAGAAGTTATCAGTTGCTTCAAATTTCTGCCATCTGACTATATTTTTAAGGGAAATTATTAAATAAATATTCCTCTCATATACAACTTAGATTATATCTCCTTATTCAAGGTAGTTATTAGGATATATCTTCTTTGCATAAAAATTTAATTAATTGCATATTGCTAGAGGATGATGAGCCAGAATAGAGTTTTCATTTTCTTGAGCCAGGGACTTGCTCTGTCACCTAGGCTGGAGTGCAGTAGCACGATCACTACACACTGCAGCCTTTACCTCTTGGGCTCAAGTGACCCTCTTATATTACCTTTGCCAGTAGCTGGGACTATAGGCATGCACCAACAGTCCCAGCTAACTTTTTAGTTTTATTTTTTTCAAGACGGTCTCACTATGCTGCCCAGTCTGTTCTCAAACTCCTGACCTCAAGTCCTCTTCCCACTTCGGCCTCCCAAAGTACTGGGATTACAGATGTGAGCCACCACACCCAGACAGAAAAATAAATAAATGAGAGCATCAGTGTAAAATGCAAACAAATAAAAATCGTTGTAAAAATCTATGACAAAATTTTCTTATGCTTTTATAGGTAGGTAATAAATTTAACAATTGACATCAAAAGGAAAAATCGTATTATTTACACAATCCATGGTGTCCATGGGTTTGCAAATGTATCAAGGGCTACCAAAAAGCATGAGTATTGTTGATACTCAGACTAGAAAGAAATAAATCTCAAATTTAAGAAAGTGCATAAGATTATTTTTTATAGGCAAAAATTTGACTACACATAAAATAAAGCATAATTCTCCTAGTAACATACTCATACTTCATTTAAAAACATAGAATTGCAGCACAGAATAATAAGCAGAGAGAAAATATGCTGTGTAAGTCTCTAAGTCCAAAAGTCATATTTAAATATTAGTGTTGGTGATCATCAAAGGAGTCCAATTTTATTGGTTATTACAAGGTCCGCTGAGAAGAGTGACTGATACACAGTTCAATGACTCTCTGGTCAAGGGGGCACTTCCATAATTCAGGGAAAATTCTAGAAGAGCACAAGGAGAAAAGCAGTGTACCATTGTGTTTGAACAGCCACAGTGATGTGGGAGTGGGCATGGCTTTCTGAAAACAATTTCAATGAAGAACACAGAGAAGCTTCTGCAGATGCTTAATCCCAATCACACAGTTGAAATCAGAAGGAAATGGGATTTGATTTCTAGGGATTCACTTTAGCATTAAATGTGTTGGAATAACTTGGAAAGTGATAATGCATTTTGAAAAGATATCATCTTCATGTCAAATCTCCTTCTCATTTTTCCAAATGGTGGTGTTTTATTTCAGGTGCTCATCTTTTGGGTTCTCTTTTTCTTAATTTTGGCAACTAAGTCCCCCTGTTCCTATGTACACCCTTTCCTCAGAGCCCTGTAATGCAGTCAGACTTGTTTCTAAAATATTACTTGTTGTCAGGTATGGTGGCTCATGCCTGTAATCCCAGCCCTTTGGGAGGTTAAGGCAAGAGGATTGCTTGAAGCCAGGAGTTTGACACAAACCTGGGCAACATAGCAAGACCCCATCTCCACAAAAAATTTTAAAACTAGCCAGACATGGGGCATACACTTGTAGTTCCAGCTACTAGAGAGGCCGAAGAGAGAGGATCACTTGAGCCCGAGTGTTTGAGGCTGCAGTAAACCAGGGCAACAGAGCAAGATCCTGTCTCAATTTAAAAAAAAAGAAAAGAAAAAGAAAAATTAAAAATCTCACTTACTAGCCTCAATTTTTATAAAAAATACATTTATAAGATTTAGGCAGATGTGGTACACAGGAAAAAAAATAGCTCCCCAAATATATACACCCCATCCTAGTCCCCAGGACCTAGGAATATCACCTTATATGGCAAAAATGTGATTAAATTAAGCATCTTGAAAGGGAGAGTTTATCGTGCTTGGTAAATACTAGGTGTCAATAGAAAGGGAGACATTCATTTTGGGGGAGAACTGTTTTTCTATCACCTCTGTTTTTGTTTCTTGTGTTTTTATCCACTGTATTCATTTTCTGTGACTGTTGTACCACATATTCAGTTGTTTTTTTAAAGAAAAAAATTTAGTGTTGGTCCTAAATGCAATCACACAGACCCTTAGAAGAGAGAGGTAGAGGAAGGTTGGACACAAACACCCCCAGAAGACAGTGTGAAGACAGTGAGAGAGGGGTGCAACCCCATGCCAAGGGATGACAGCAGCTATCATAGGGGGAAGTACCAGGGTCTCCCCTGCAGTTTCTGGAAGAAGCCTGCACTTCAGTCTCAGCATTCTGGCCTCCAGAACTGTGAAGGAACACATTTTTTCTTTAAAAAAACAACTGAATATGTGGTACAACAGTCACAGAAAACAAATACAGTGGATAAAAACACAAGAAACAAAAACAGAGGTGATAGAAAAACAGTTCTCCCCCAAAATGAATGTCTCCCTTTCTATTGACACCTAGTGTTTACCAAGCATCTACTGGCTGGGTACCCGAGGAGTCACACGATTTATTCACATCATCCGAATGCTTACCAACACCCAGGATGTCGTGAGAGTGCCCATTTTACAGATAAGGAACCACATGGGCCAAGGCCACACACAGTAAGTAAACAGCAGGCCCAGAAGTAAACCTAGATGCATTGAGCTCCAGATTTTCCACTGTTCTCACAACGCTCTGCTGCTGCATCCTAAACATCAGCCCTCTCCTCCCTGTCCCTGGCTGTCTTCACTCTGTCCTACTGCAGAGCACACTTGTAATTCATTGTACTCCTGGCTTTTGTAGAAAATACAAAAAAATGAACCAGAAGGCAACCGTGCCTCAAACACCATGGACTGTCACCCTTTTTGAGTTCTTGAATTCCTACATCCTGGCCCTGAGCTATCGAGACCTTGACCCTGAGCTCTCTAGACCTTGGTCCTGAGTTCTCTAGACCTTGGCCTTGCCCTGAGCTATATAGACCTCAGCCCTGAGCTATCTACACCTTGGCCCTGAGTTATCTAAACCTTGGCCATGAAATCTCTAGACCTTGACCCTGAGCTATCTAACTCCCTCACCCCAAACTAATCCTGATTTACCCCAGATTGGACAAATTTCCAGTAATACCCTGGTTTCCAGAGCTACAGCCTTGTCTATGTAAAAACAGAATTTGAGATTCCCAGTCAATTCTTCTCCATCCCGGGAATCTCTTTCTCCCAGCCTCCGCAACTGCTTTCTGCATGCTGTCCACTGATCTCTCCATCCTTGCTCCACTATGATGTAGGCCTCAGTGGGTTTCCCAAAAACAGAGAATCGCTAACAAAATCTCATTTTCTTTGAGATTTATAGATGCATGTATCTACACACACACCATGGCTTTAGCAGGTATTTATTTCCTGGGGCACAAAGAGACAGGTGTGGAGAAATAGAGATGTCTTAATTTCTCCATAGCCAGAAGTAGGCCTCAAGCCCCATTTCTGCTAATGATGGGAAAGAAATTCTATTTTTAAGCTCAGCCTCAGCATTCCCTTCTTCCCGACTCCACTTCATCCCCAGTTTTTCTCCTAACTCCCAGAGGAGATCTATTCTCAGGGCTCTTGCATCTTCCTGCCTCTGGTCTAAGAGCCCTCCTCTGGCATGGCATGCATAGCTCATCCCCCTGGATTTGGTTTCAGTCTGTTTCTGCTGGATGGGTCCTATAGATGGTAATTGGGCTCTGTCTCTAAATTCGAGCACCTGTCCAGCTCTGCTGTCTTGCTCTTGCTGTCTCCCTCTCGGCCCTCCCTAAAAGTGCTGATCCTCTGAGACCCTCTAGCCTGGGTCTCTACTATCGCCCCCACAAACACACACACCCTCCTACACACAAAAAACACCCTGGCAGGCAGACATCTCACAGTTGTCAATTACACTGCAAATCCCTTCAGGCAAGAACAGTGTTCCTAGTTGCAACCAAGGAGAAAGGAATTTGAGGGAGAAGAGGAGGAGGAAAGGTTGACACTGACCCTTCTGTGTGAAGTGTACCTTCATTGTCTCCACCCACCAAGACAGCCCCTCCCAGGTATAGAGTCTGGGAGAAGCCTCTTTCCAGAATTCCAGACAAGAAACAGAACTCAACCTATCTGGAGTCCTAGTTTCCCACCTCAGTCTTTAATTGTAAAGGAATGAGGAAGAAGATTCACTCCAGCATTCGCACAAAGGCTTTTCAGTGAAAATCCTCTCTGAGCTCTTCCCTAAATTAACCCTGGCAGTGGTTCAAAAACCGTTATCACATGGGAAGGGATGTTTTCCCAAAGGCATCATGGTTCCTCCATATACTCTGCTTCAGGGTATAAAATCAGTGCCTCTATCCACTAAGCTTTGCGCTTGACTTACCAAGTCAAGATTTTCTATTTAAATGAAACATTTTTCCTCCAAGAGCCCCTTAAAAGTATTTTGTTTTTAGAGTATTGTGGTTTTCAGTGGTCTTCAAAACAGAGACAAAATTTAAGCCAACTGAGAACTATTTGTCCAGGTGGTTGTGTCTGCGTTTCTTCAAGTGCAGTAAATGTCCCATTTCAGTGGTTGAAGGGACTTGGCATGTAATCAGTAATTATTGAAAAGGAAAGCTGCATCATTTAGTTTTTTAGAGTCACCATTTTGACACATTGTATAAATACTGACCCTAAGCTTATGATATGGTTTATAACTTTATATGATACTATTATTTTAATGGTGCTATTTAACAATTTCTTTGGGAAAAAGTGCTTAAATTTCTTTATTTTGTTTAGTTTCGAAACCAAAACAGTACATTTATTTGCTAATTTTTATTTCAAAGTTAAACAAATTAAAGTTGGTTTTGCATTTAGAGTCTTGTGTGATATGTAATATCAGAACTAATAGTACTGCTCACAAAAGGCATGTATATTTTACAGATCCCTCTATTATTTTTACATTTTGTCACATTATATCATTGAAGTATGAGCAAAATTTTAGAGGTGATCTTAGCTCCAGCATCCTGTGTGGTAAGTAAATGTGCTCCAGCTTACTAAACTAATTCTGCCTTATTGGGTGTTAACTTTCTTTTCTTTAATTATACGTGGTTAAGAATGATAAATAACTTTGCATGCACATATATTTTCTTCCTTAGATTACTTACCTGTGATCAAATGCCAAGACTTCAATTACTGAGTCTAAGGATAGAGTTGGCGCTAATCAACATGTCTCCACAAAGCACAAAGTTTACTCCGGTGCCTTTCCTTGCTGAACTCAGTGCCCTATAATGCTACCTGTGAGTTTTTTATGAAGCAAAGAGTACTTTTTTAAAAAAAGTTTTTATGAAAAAATGCATTACTTTTTAACAGTAAAGTGACCTTTTACTTTTTTAATGTTTATGCAATGTATCATAAAACAATCTCGGAAGTTCTACTGCTCTAAACTCAGTAACCTATAATGTTTTATCTGAAACCATTTTTTCCTGATGGCTTTAGGGTTCAGGTGAACTTGCTGACACGGACTATGAATCAAAGTGCTACAAGAGACATGAGACAAGTTTCACATTGGCCTCACATGTAGATAAAACAATAATGAGAATATGTACACCTTAAAATAGATAGTAAAATTATAAAATGAGATTGCTCCCATAATTTTTTCCATTTAGCTTGTATTATCATGGTCAATATAAGACCTGAATAACCAAGGAAAGTACTGATAAGGTGTGTGCGTGTGTGTGTGTGTGTCTTCAAACAGAAACATTTCTTAGAAGTTTGAAACCTTTCCCACTACTGTCAATCGTTTTCTTAAAGTATTATAATTGCTCAAGTTTCGCTTATGAGTGAAAACAAACTCTCAGGGGAGGGGAGTGGGATTGGCAATTGAGGAAAACTGCTAGGGGAGGGAGGGGCACACCTCATCAACAAGGAAGGGTACCTGCATAATCAATGTTTGTATGTCTAACCCTGAATTGTACCCCACATCTGTATAAATTAATTAATTTTATAAAGAAATTTGAAACCTGATCCTTTATATCAACAGAAAGCTTTCTTAGAGCTTTTCAGAATATATTTAGGCTTAACTTCATTATGTAAAACTATTTTCATATCCATCCAAATCTGTTAACAGGAAGTAAAGACCAATGTCACAATGTCATTAATACTACTATTTCAGAAATATAATTATTGGTTCACAGTGGTCTGTGAAACAAACAGGTCAAAATAGCAAGTTATTAAATTGCTGCTACAATGACTACAGAAACTGTACTTTTCAGTAGCTGAGAGACCCTTAGTTATACTTAACAATATGAAAAAGTTATCTTATTTTATACCCAGTGGAACGAGTTCTATAAACCTGAGTGAATATCTGGATTCTACCTTCAGGCGTGAAATCTTGTTTCTCTCTGAACTTCAGTTTAGACATCTACAACATAAGGGAAAGGCTGTACAAGATAACTTCCAAGGACTTTTCAAGTCTGGTGATATTATTGCTCCATAGGGCATCAATAGCAACACAGCCCCAGCATGAAAGGATTCAATGGCAATAACCAATATCACAAGCTGTAACCACAATGCACGTCTCTTCACAATGGATCAAATGAGTGATATACACAACATCCCTTTACCTCTCTCTTAAATAATGGCCAGTATGAGGTGTAACCAAATATTCACAGTATTTCAAATCTATATCATGTTTTTTATACTTAGTGGCTCGCAAAATACTAGATGGCATTTCTGCATGGCACAATCATTAATTTGGGGGCCTCTAGGAATTTTTTTAAATTAAAGCCAATGCCAGAAATTGAACTCTACAGAAAAAAGAGAAGAAGGAGGATAAAGTGAGAGGGAGAGGGAAAGGGAGAGGGAGAGGGAGAGGAAGGAGAAGGAGAAGGAGAAGGAAAAGAAGAAGAGAAAAAGTTGATTGCAAAATTGTAAGATCACATCATTTGCTTTCCTCACCATTGCTGTTCCATTTCTAGTTATGCTTCCTTTGTGAAGCCTTTTCTGATGTTCCTAAGTCAGAAGTGATACCTCTCCCCCTCCACCCCCATATTTTTCTTCATAGTTCTTCTATCTTCTTCAGGGAACTTACCGCAACTTCAAAACACTTAGCTCTTTCTCTTTTGTGTTAGCATTGAGTAACTACTTGTCCTAACATCTCCTACTAGATTTAAAATTCGTTTGTTTTTCACATTTAAATTTATGTTTAATTTCTAGCAAGGTATTTCACATCTCAACAGGATATGGCGACACTATGACACCCAACAGACACAGTATTTACAAACTAACAGTCATCATATACATTCATAGACACCAGATACTAGGCAACTCATAGTCATTTGCATTAACTTTAATTAAAACAGGTTTAAATCTTGAAAATAAGATAGTACTGGAAAGTGATAAATATTTTTGAAGGCACAGAAGCACAAACCTGAATGCGCAAAGGTCCCAGAAGGCTTGAACAGGCATCCCTGGAGAGAAGAGGGCTGTCCTCAGAAGAAGGGACACCTGATTTCTCGCTACTTTAGGTGTCAGTTTCCCCACAAGTGAACACCTTTTGTAACTGTCAACAAGGTCAACAAAGTCATGACTTAAAGTGTGCATTTTTTGTTTTGCAAATAAATGCATATGATTAGCCAAAAAGAACAAAATAATGATTAATATCAATTAGAAAAGGCAATGTTCATAAATGTTTACAGAAATCTCTGACTTTACATAAATAAAAACTCCTCAACCAGCACAGAACGTTTAAAATGAGTCAATCTATGGTGTTATAAAGTCACTTTTAAGCTACTTTGGTTATATTTTGTTTTATGTTTAAGCTTGACTTTTGACAAGTCAAGTGAAAAACAAAACCAACAAACTTACCTGCCAAACTTTGCCCAAAATTGAATTCAGTAAAAGTTTTTGGACTGTTTAAAAACTACTTGGCCAACTGCAATACTTTCTAAGTAATGAATAGAGATATTAGGAAGGTTAGAACCTTATGGTTCATATGCCAACAAAATTAAAATATACATTAAACAAAAGTTCTTTACAGCGCATTTGTTGCCAAGTAACTTGATGAATCTAGAATCTGTTTTTCCACTAGATCAGATTGGGGAACATGCTTCCTATTTACTTTAGATCTCAAAGGCATAACGCAGTTATCTATAAATGTTGGATAAGGCTGGTTAATAAGAGAACAGAATATAGTTCAGAAAATAGAAAGAAAATATAATTAAGATGAAGTCACAAAGCATCTGTGAATATTGAGACATGATACCTAACTTTACTGACACCTATATACATCTTAATCTTCAAAATTCACCACAAGCTTGCATCTTCTACACATTGCTCCTGATCTCTCTCATAGGACACCCATGCTGTCAAAATTTCACACCTTCAAAAAATTAGATTGGCATGGTATTGTTTGTTCTTGCTTCCTCATTTCATTTTGTCTATACCTCTAATGGTGGTTGTAAGCCTCTTGAAGGGAAGTTATGGCTCTTTGCTTTGTGCCATCTACAAAGTGACTAGTGCTGCATTTAGCACAGAGTGGGTATCCTGTTGAATGCATGAAATTACAAAGATGATGCATAACTTAAAACTCCTGAAAAGAACTCTAATTTAGTACAAGGCACTCCAAATTATCTCAGTTATTGACATTTTTCAATATTGGAAAAGCATGTGCCAAGGGATATGTATGTATTTGTAGGAAATGTATTAGAATATTACCTAAGGTCTCCACTACCTAAGAGGCATCATGACATAAATATAAGGGGTGGGAAGAGAGATGTCATTATAAGCTTCAGGTGTTTTGCACGCCTTCTCTTATGTGCAGCTGCTATTATTTCTACTTACCATTGACGTGTCTTTTTACATTCTGGTAGCAATGATTATTCCTAATTATATACGAGAAAATAAATTGTAGTATGTGTTTAATACAAATAGTCTGTCATTTGGGTAGTCATGTCAAATGGTTAATCAATTTTGAAACTAGCAAAAACAGGTTAGAGGGCAGAAATATGCTAGGAAAAGACAATCATCTCTTTTCTTAATCGTGATTTAAAACTTAATCCGCAGTTCAGAAAAATGGCTTCAAAAAACATGATAGTCTTTCTTTTTTTTTTACTAAAGAATAGTTTCTTCTTGTAACATAATTCTTTTGAATCGGAAGGCACATCCCCTATTCTTGCTTAAATATCTCTGCAGATAAGTCTCTTCCTTGTGAGTTCGTCTGCCATATTTGGATGCTCACTTCTGCCCCATGGTAGGAAAGCAAAGGAATCCATCATTTGAGCATCTCAGCCACTTTTCTAGCTGACAAGATGCTAGTAAGTTTCAGTTCAAAAAAGCAGCTCAGTTCCATATTTTGTGCCTAATCTCTTCTGTAAGTGTGATTATTCTGGTTTTGCCCAGGCTTAACTCTGCCTTGCAGATAAAAAACCAAGTCCAATGTAATTAAATAGAGTAAAAAACAAACAATCCTGGATTCTGCAATCAACCTAATAGAAATAATTATTTACCCTGGATGACTGGACATATAGCTATTTACAAAACAGGCTTAGATAGTATTGCATCTTAGCTAAATGCTATCACAGTTAATAAATTTAGGGGAAAAATATCAAAGAGAGTACAAAAGTAGCAGCCATATTTATGAGCCCTCCAAATATTTCCAGATTTGTGCAAATTAACTTGTGGTCCCAATGCAGCTATTTATTTATAAAAACTTATTTATTTCTTTTGCAAAGAAATATTAGGATATTAGGGTTTCCATCAATGACTGCAACATTTCTCTGTGAAATAAGATGCTCAGCTGGTGAAATTCCAGGGAAAATGGCTATTTTTCAGAATCTCTGTGTCAACTGCAGAGGTCATTCATACTTCTGCAATATTTTAAGCATCATGGAAGTCAAGTATTCAACATTATAAGACCCTATAATGAAAAATAATGGGAATCCAAAGCCACCCCATTTAAATGGAAGCCACTGTATGTATTAACCTGTGTCTAGAATGGATTGGTGCCCCTCCACACCCAACTTGGAGAACACTAAAGAAATATGCCAGACTAATATACAAGATAACATACAAGATACATTTTCTAGTATTCTGGGAGAGTGAATGTGCAGTCAGAAGCTAATCATGAAAGAACAAATGAAGGCAAACCTGTTGTATGTTAGAAGAAAGAAAGAAGACAGGAGGGAGAATGACCACACATTGGGCTGAAAAGAGGGACGTGATTACAGCCGTCATCAGTCTGATCACAAGGCAACATATTTTCAAGATATAGAAGACATTTTGTATTCCAAGAGCAACAGAAAAGAAAGTAGATGATGATATTCTTCTAGAATGTCAAGATCCTGAGACTTCAGGGTCCTGTTCGTCCCTGTGACCACTCACCTGTTACTGAGAAGCCAAAAATAGAGGACCTGGGACCACATTCTTCATCTTCTATCAGTTGACACAGCTATTCATCTTCAGTAAGAAGGAGGTCATAGGAAAACCTGGTTTTATGAGCAAGAAGAATCTAGAAATAAACACTTCTGGTTTGCCATTAGCCTTTATGAATAAGGCAGCAAAATTAATTTATTTTAATGTTATACCCAGG